ACGTGTGGCAGCGATTCGAATGTGCCCCATGGAGGAGATGGTTGTTGCCGGCTGCTGCAACTGTGGACTGTCAAATGAATAAAATTAAGTGTAGCACCGACTCTGGACGACACGGACAACGGACTACGGGACTGTGCTGCTGTGTTGCTGCGTTGCTGTGCCGTGCAAGAGAGCAACATCAACTGTTGGCAGGATATGTTGTTGCACTAATTGAATGTGGCATGCTGCAGCGGCAGTACCGCAGTTTGCATCTGTATCTGCTGCCAGTGGCACACAAGTAGCTTCATTTTGCGTCACAATTCGCATTCGCAGTCGGTTTCAGATTCGGATTCGCATTTTAAGTGCAATGCTGGCACACACACACACACACTGATATACAGACATACACACACATATATATACAGAGAGAGGTTGCAATTGCTGCTGCTGCTCCGACTGTTGACATGGCAATGCAATAAAAGTTTGTGCCTCAGCTCAGCAATTTCAGTGGCAGCAAAAGCAACAAGCAAAAGCAGAAGCAAAGACTGAGGGCCTTGGCAGTCGACAGTCGGCAGATGGCAATTGTTTCCCATTATTGCTTATGCTGATGATTAAGAGCGACTGAGCGCCAGCTTTCGTTGCCGGAGGAGCTTCCTTCCGATTCCGACGACTCCGATTCCGATTCAGTTTCAGATTCTGTTTCAGATATTCAGAGATTCACAGAGAGAGGGAGAGAGAGAGAGACGCTTACCCCTTGCCATCCACAAACCGACCACACAAAAGCCATTCGCCCGGCGGCAGATTAAAATGTGTTAATGGTCGGCCATCTCTTTCTCGTTGTGCGAGAGCAAGGGAGAAGAATCACAAATTGCCATCAATTAAGATCGCAAAATGCCAAATGAATCACCCAGGGAATTGTCTCTGGGATACACTCTGTTTTCAAGCAAAGCTAGCTTTTAGCCCAAGTACTTTATGTAAACCTTAGGGCAGGACTCGTTGAATTATGAATTTATGCATTCTTAATGATACCATAAATTAAGCTGTTATATTAAATCAAATGCCCTTAATCAGGCTAACAATAATTTACACTTTTCAGAAGGGTAAACTAAAGGTGGTTATTAATTAATTTACATAATCAAATATAATATGTAATTTGACTTAAAGTGCTTTAAGAACTTCACATTGTTAACTTATAGTTGTTAGTCTTGAGAGAAGGTATCTAAATGCATTTTCTTAATCAGTAATATTTCTTTGCTTCTTGATTTCATTTTAGAATTTATTTACAAATTTTCTATTTAGAATATTTACTAAAATATTTATAAAAAATTAAAAACTGTTAAAAAAAAGACTTTATTTGCATGTCTTTATATTTTTGCTATGCTTTGTTCCTGGTGTTTGGCATTCTCTTGGCTGAATGCCTTTCTGATTGTCTGTGGTGGCGTTTGGTCTGTTTGTTTAACCGGCAACAGAAAAAACAACAACAACAGCACCAGCAGCAACAACAACAACACCAACACCAGCAACATCAGCAACAGCGACAACAAAGACAACCAACCAATAGACGTTCCCTTACAACGAGCTGCTCATAAGCCTGTTTATGTGTCTGTCCGTCTGACTTTTCGAATGGGTCTTGTTATGTCCCCTTTCCTTCATCCAGGGTATTCACTGTATATGTATGTCTATGTATATGTTTGTGTGTCTATTCAAGGGAAGTGGCTTGTTGTCCGTCTGTCTTCTGCGAGCTGCCTGTTTACAGGAAATTCCATCAAATTCCTGTCGGTTGGGTGCAGTGAAATGAATAATATAGTACCATGGAATTAGGTTATTACACTGAAACAGGAGAAGCCAACTCAAGTAATTTCATTAGTTGCATTTTTTTTGTTTAAATTTTTTTTTGAGAAATACCTACTTATCCCCGTGCTTAACGTTTTGAAATGGAGATAGTACAACCCAGGGGGTTAGAAATGCAGGTGAATATTATTATTTTGCATAAACTCTGACGGCGAAGCAGATGTGTTGCCATGGCTCCAGCGCAAGTTGCTGTTGCCAACTAGCAACTCTAGACGTACAAATCGCATGCTCGTATTTAGACAGCCGACTTGGATTGTGAGCTTGCTGGAAGGGGGTCGTTCCGAGCAATGGGTGGGGGTTTTTCCTGAAGAGAAACAAGGAATCCAGCCAGACTGACTATATAGCCCACCCACGCTACTTACGTCGAAAAGTATCTTTAACTGATGCTCAGTTTGCCATTCGTTCGGGGCGGATGTTGCTGTTGCTGTTGCTGCTTTGCTGCTGATGTTGCTGTTGCTGTTGCTGCTGTTTATGTTGCTAGTGTACTTACTTTATTTTCCAACAATTTGCTACATGAGTTCGCAGTGTGTGTTTGGGTGTGTGTGTGTGTGTGCAATATGCTGCAGGGGCATCAGGGGCATAAGAGCCTTGGTAATGGCAGTCACAGACATCATCTTCCTCCACGAGAACCCCCACCAATTTCCATGGACAGAAGCAGCGGCAGCAAAAGTCAAGGTATTTTACTTGTGAATTGTTTGTAAGTGGAAAACTTTCTGCACACGTTTCCCCATAAATACAAAACAGAATAAAAACAAAATATGTAAAGAGCTTAACTCAATAGTGAAGCTTAGATACTCTAGGCAGCTATAAATGGGTATTACGAGTTCTTGAAAACAATAACATTTGAAGTAGTTAATTGCAGTTTATATATGGAGAAGATTCTAAGTCTACTAAGGAAGCTGAAAGTTAATCATAAGGTTAATGGTCTTTAACATTGCTGTATTGTTATTATTGAATTTGGAAATTAAACGAAAAAGAGATTTCTTAGGATTTTAGGCGGCAAATTCAAAATTTAAATTCATAAATTTAATTCTTACTAATTATCAATATCAAGAAAGAGTATCTAAAGCCATCGTCTTGTAATTGTTAAAGTTTTTTCGCTCTGGCGCGTTGCTGTAATTGTTTGTACGTAACTTTGCTGAGCGGGCGAAATCCCGGACGTTTGACTTTTTGGGGGGCCATTTACCGGGAATCCAGTGACAATAATTAATGCGAACTTAAGTGTGTATATAATTAAGGAGAAATTACAAGAAGTTGCCGCGACATTGAATTCATGCCATGGCATGACATGCCATGTAGATGAACTCAAATTAACTGGGCAATATTTTTGGGGAGGGAAAAGGGGGTTGATTGTGGATGGTTGGATGGGTCATATGAGGTAAAATCAATTACTCAACAATGCCCAGGTGGCGGAGGATGGTCATAGATCAAAGACATTCGCACAACAATGGAGTTCTGCGATAGCGGATGAGCATCAATCACATTTCATGCGTTCAACTGCCGGCGGGTGAAATACAGGAAAAGCCAGGGAAAACCAGGAAAACGCAGGCAACAACCCCCAAAAACACAGGTCCATTTTGGATGAATCGAAATGTTATTGGGAAGAGTTTCGAATCGTGTGTCAAACAATGGAATTCAAGCGGACACAAACATCATGCCCCAACGATTGTCATCATTTCGTTTACACATATATTAATCAACCCTTGCAACATGCCATAATTACGTTTTAAACGTTACCCCTTTTTATGATAACTCCTTTTAGAAAATGACTTTTGTTTAATTTGATTTCTGGGAGAGTACATATAATGCTTTGAAATGGCCATTCATTCCACTCATGTAAATGCAACAATTAGGCGGACAAAGCTAACCGAAAATCAATTCAATTCAATGCAATTCAATTAGAAGGCAGGGGCTGCGGCAGGGGCAGTAAAAGCGAAACAGAAACAGCAACAACATTGTTGCTACAACAGTTGCATGTGGCCATTTGCAACGCAATCACAGAGCGACCAAAAAGCAAATGCAAAAGCTCAGCCTAAAAGCAGCCGCAAAAAGTTATGGCAGAAGTAGACCCAGCCCACTCTTCCTGTCAGGGGCACCCCAGAAAAGGATGTGAAAAGGGGGTAGTGGAAGTCCGTGCACTGTGAGAAAAGTAAATGAATTTAATATAAGCTAAGAAATTACTTAGACTTTTAGATGATTATCCAAATAGTCTTGAAAATTGTTTATTTTTCAAATTAAGTATATAGTTTTAGTTATGAAGTTTTTCTTATTTATTTCCAGTGCCTATGTTGCGGGCGTGGCACATAATATAGCTGGCTGTCTGTTGCAATAATGGCCGTAAATTGCCGTCGCTTGAACTGCTTCTTATTGTTGCTGCTGCTACTGTTGTTGTTGTTGTTGTTGCTGTTGTTCCTGTTGGGTGGAGTGTTGCTGCGGGGTGATGTTGCAAATGCAATTGCAACTGCAACACTGCAACTGACTGCCAACGTATTTGTATATGAATGCAAGTGTGTATGTATGTATCTTTGTGTTGCCTGTGGTATGTGAAGCACATTTAGGAAATTAAATGCGTTTACCTTCGGTCCAGCATCCAAAAGTCACCCATCCCTGCGGCATTTTCGTCCGTCGCCCACAATTTATAAGCCTTTTGGCTACATTTTGTGGCTTTGATTGCAATTATCTTTTGCATTTTGTATTTATTTGCTACACTTTGGGCAATTGTCCGCATTCGGCCTTTGTCTCTGGCCTCTACTGTTCATTGTGGCCATTGTCAGTGGCCAAAGACCATAGTCCATAGTCCGTAGTCCATATGTGTGTGAGTGGTGGGTGATAGGGATCCCCCTACAAATCCTTTGTTTTTCCACAGGATTGAATGAAAGGAGAGGGCACTACAGCGTATGTCCAGCTTCCAATTTGAAGTTTATTAATTGTCAATTTCATGAATTTTTCGGTAGCCTTCAGGCAAACGACCTCGTCCGGCAAACAAATCAAAATCAAAAACTTTGATTTGTGTGTACGTGCTGGGAAAAGTGAGTCTCTATTTGAACTGTAAATGCTTTATTAATCCGATACCTGTAAATGAAGTTTTATTTGAGCACAGACAGTGCTACAGGTAGTTAGTTTAGTTTTTGGAAACCATTTCCAAAAAAGATAAAGATTATAGTAGTTCTTGGGTATGTTCAGTATATATCTTTATTCAACTTTTCAATTTAAAGGGGAAACATTTCTTTCATTTCAAACTTATTTAACATTTTTTTGTCGTAAGTATTTCATGTTTTTTGGTGACAAATTTATAAGCAAATTTAGAAAATTGGTAACTTGAATAACCAAATATGAAAATATGAGCTTGTTTAACAGTGTTGTTTATTCAACAATATTGAAACGCGAACATTTGCGAGTCCCAAAGTTTTGTGATAAACGTGTTCGCCGAGGAGAAGAGACAAGTTCGGGGTGATGTGATTTGTTGAATGAAAGTGGAAGTGCATTTCGGGCCAAGTGGGATCCCAATGAGCTTGCCGATGCTCGATAAATGTTCTCCAGATCACCGTGCAAAGTATGGCTAATCAGAATTGACCCCAGTGCTGCGGCAGACCCACACCATTGGGGTAGTTCTGACTGGTCATATTCTCGACCATATAATTGGCAAAGAACTCGCCTCGGCGATCTTCCCGAACGTGATACATTGCCCTCGTAACATTGGCCATTAGGAGGCACATTTCAGGCTCATGGCTTTGGGATATGGGTGATGGTTTGATCATAGTGTAGAAACTACGCTTTTTGCGTAGACGTGTTGGTCCATTGGGTCCTTCTTCCGCTGGAAGTACGATTATGGGTGGTTCATGTGGAGCATCTATGTGTATGGCCCTCTCACGATCGATCCTTTGGAACTGATGTGGCTGTCCGTGGTCCAGAAATTCGGAGTCATTACCAGCATCTCCAGCTGCGGCATCGCCAAGGCGATGTATCCGCAGTTCATCATCAAAATCTCCGCCATCGAGTTCAAGTAGTGCGTCCATAATCAACAAACAAGATCGAAAGTTTAACAATGAAACATCAACGCGATTAATACGGCAGTTTTGTGATTTTCTGCTTTTCGATACGATGTTGGCTTTTTGGAGTTTCAATTGATTTGATGTGTGGTTGTAGTGTGTTTGGTTTTGGATGTAACTGAAGGGAAATTCTAGGGCTGCTTGGGATTTTATTTTTAAAAATCTAAACTAAATGATGAAGGTCAAAATGATAGGCAGATAGTATAAACCATTCAAATGGAAATTAAATTATTGACAGTTTTAAAAGTCGCAAATCTATAAATATCTTATTTCGAAAACTATTCACTGTAAATACCATAAACATTGTCTAGAAGTCAACATAACTTAAGTGCCATGATATGAGCATGTTTGGAATTGTAACTTGCCCATTTACCAAATCCCATTTGGACGAAAGTTTTGCCCCTGTTTTCCAGCCTCCTGAAGAGTGGGTGTATGGAAAGGAGGGTGGGAGGTTGTCGATAAGATAGAATTGTGTGTATCCATTAGATGCAGTCATATCCATATCGAACCGAACCGAGTCCCCCTTGACGTCCACTACTGGCAAATGGAGAAACGCTGTCTGACATTTGCTTGCCTGTTTCGAATCGGAACACCAGACCCCAATAGCCCCCGAGTGATTGGACACATTTAGCCCTATTTAACCCCTCCTCCCTAACGCTTCCCCCTTGGAGCTCCATCATCATCATGGTCGTCATTACAAGCAATTTAACTCGACGTAATGTTGCCATCAAGTGTTCCGGAATCAGAGAATCAAAATCAGAGGAATCGAGAAATCGGCAGCTGTTTGGTTGAGGGTGTAATGGGAGCACATTACGAACTGTAAATGAGTTCATTACGGCCAGCTCAATTAATAATTTTTCGAATTGCGTTTAAGCAATCGCATTGCGGAAATTGTTTGCCAGACAAATCGGTGCGGCAGCGAAAAACTTTTTCCCGCCGGAGGAAATTATGAAGTGGAGCAGCTGCATCCAACAAGTTACCAGCCAGCATCATGTTGCTGGCTATGTTTCTAGCAACATCTTGAATTGCGCCGACGCAGATCCATCCTCTCGCTCGCACTGCGCTGTTGTCTTTGTCTTTCGATCTGACCTCTCGCTTGTGGAACAATTTATTATGGCTTTGGGTCTATGACTGTGTGTAATCACATTGTTGCCATTTTCACTTCATTATTTTGCTTTAATACGGGCAAATTTTTGTTTTACTGCTACACAGAGAAAAATTGGAAGAGGGTTTATTTTCAAAATTGTTAAAATATATTAAGGAAGTATATTTATAAGTTTGAATGAGTAAAGAAAGGTGTATTTTAGAGGAAAACATGCAATAAATTCTTATATTAAATATTTTTCCATTTTTAAGATATAAAGAAAATATTAAAAAAAAGTATTATTTTCGAAAAGGTTTTTTTTATAAAATTAAAAAAATTAAACTAAATTCAACTAATTTTGTCAATTAAATTTTCTCCAAGTGCAAGTTGCATCCTTCGTTTTCCGTTTGCGTCAGTTTGTTCTTTCCTTCTCTGGCTATCTATTCCTGTCTCTGTCGGCAAGTCTCTTGCCTCTCTTTCGCTCAGTTGGACTGTTACAGTTGGTTAAGTAACGAGGCCAGGATGAGCTTCCCTTCCAGTTATCAATGAAGAAATGAGCATGTCCCTGCTGCTCCGTCGCTTCGGGCGACCTTGCTTTGTGTGCTTATGTGTGTGAGTGGGTGAGAGGTTGGGTTGGTATTTGGTAGGTGGTGGATTGTGTCTACAAGTGTGTGCTTGTGTGTGCAGCAGACAGTAATTATTATGCCATGTCCAGCGTTAATTGATTCAATGAAATATCACCAACACGGCCATTGTGTCCATGAAAGCTCCTGGGCAAGGATATCTCGCTATAACAAGGTCCTGTTTTTGTGGCTTATTTAAAACTCAGACTGAAACGGATTTGTCAGTCAATAAAGAATAGTTTGTCATTGACCAAAAACTTAAAGTAGTAGTTATGTAGTTACATTTTGAAATTTAAAAACTTATTTAGTTTCTGAAGTCTATAAATATTTTCCACCTGCCTGTCAAATCACGGCTTCAATTACAAACTCATCAATCCTTCAGTTTGTAACCTCATAAAATGTTTAAAATACATAATCAACACCCTTGACAGATGTCGGTTAACTAATCACCCCTTTTAAGGTGTTTCAATTAGCTGATGCCAGCCGGCTGTTAACCAAATCCCTAAACACTGTGAAATCATAAACCAAATATTATGCTAATCAATCCATCAATATTTAAACACTCCCCTTGGGGCATTTTCACCGACGTGGCAGTCGGCAGTCGGCAGTCGACAAACGAGAATCGGCAGCCAGCTGCCAGCTAATTAAATTGAATTATTATTGCATTTAATTATCGACGATGCCGGGCATTCTATGGCCACATAAAATGTCAACTGCATTAGCATCATCATTATCGGGCCAAAAACCGGGCAACACTTTCAGCCACATTATCCTATCCCATGGAGCCCCAGCCTCCTTTGATCTCTGCCTGCATCGACGATGCGCTTGTTAAATTCAATACATTCGGAGCATCATTTTTATTTTTATTTTTATATATTTTTCATGAGAGATGGTATATGGTGTATGGTGTATATGGTTGTGCGTGCGTTTGTCTTTTGCTTTTATATTTTCGTTTTTAATTACTTTTGCGCTATTTTTAAGCTGTCTGCGGACCGGCAACATTCGAAACCAGGTCCCAAGTAATGACAGAGCAGGGACAAAGTGGCAGGGAAACCAGTCCTCAGTCCCCACTCCTTTGCATCTTTACTAGGTGTTAATTTATTTTTAATTTTTATTATTTATCAGCGCTATGCGATCGCTGTGGCAGCCGTCTCCATCAAAGAGCGCCACACAAAATACTCAGACGTAAGTGGATCGCTCTGGCACTTTGGGGCACTTTCATGGATTTCCATCTGTCAACTAAGTCACTGAGAAAAATAGTTATGCATTTTTGAAGTTATATCAATAAAAACAACAACAAAAGAAACTACGAGAATGGTTCGTAATTTATGATTTTTTATAAATATTGAAATATATTTACAAGTTTAGGTTTAATCATACGTCTCAATCACTTTATGATGTATTAATCCACGAAACCCTATTACTTAATTTCTCACTCTTTTTAACTCCTACCCAAACCCATCTTCATGATACCGCCTCGGAATATTCCATCATCATAACGCTGACGTTTCTATTGCATGCCATGTGCCATTGCCACAAACCATCCGATTTTCCATTCCCTGGACTGCACTCTCGCATGCAATTAATATCATTTTTATGTTCTAATGACATTCGCTGCGCTGCATTTGGTGTGCGTTTAGTGATGAAGAGGCGAGTGGCATGTGGCATGTGGGTCCCCCCGAAAAAAGAAAAACCATCATCGCTCAAAACGGCGTGTCGGGCACGAATCTTTCAAGTTGTAAAAACGCCATTAAATTGGCAGCGAAGTGCATGCCAGCCAGTCAGCCAGCCAGCCGCGATGATGATGATGATCACTCAGAAGAGGAGCAATAAGTCCGGGTCTTGGCCATAAACAAGTTGAAATTTTGGAATGGCAACAGCAACAGCAAAAGCAATGCGTAGGGCGCATTAAAAAGGGGTCCGACCCTGGCCACATTTAATTTACTTTATTGACTTTAATTAATTTGTATGTTTTTATTTCGATTTTAGTCAAAAATATTCTCGTTGCTCTTTTGTTGTAAATATCATAAATATTTCGTTGCTACTTCTGCTGGCCGCCATAAAATGTTTTTGTGGAAAAGTAATAAAGCTAAAAGTGTATAAATAAGTGTTGTATAAAGCGATGGTGGGTGTATTCCATGCTGTGGCAGCTACTGTTCCAGCCACGATTGGAATCTTAATGGTCAATAAAAGCTAATTAAATGTTTTTAATATAGTCTCGCTTGATATCTCGAAAGGGAGCGGTTGTAGAAGGGTTAAGAGGAATGAGAATTCGTATTGGAATTAAAATGATCGATCAAAACAACACTGGAAATTGTTGCATAAATCAACACGCAGAGATTATCCAAAAGAGATACAAGATACCGCTGTGAGTGTATGTGTGGGCGCCCCGGCAATTGACGCACGCACACCACAAAGCTATTTTAATTGTCTGCAGCTCGTCGGATTGGGGAGCCACTCCACATCTACATTCACATTCAGATCCATATCCCAGGGTTCGTCGTTGACAGCCGACCAAAAGGCGAGGAGAAATTGCTACACGTTTCAAAAAATAGATCATTTAGGACCTAAAAAAAAATAAATTATAATAAAGATATTTATTTTAAACGTTTATAGAAAGAACAGGCTAAAAAACTTACAACTTAATCAAACAAATTATAGTTTTAAAGTGTTTTTAATCTTTGCTAAATCTTAGCCGCAAAAAGTATGCAATGATTTTCAGAAAATAAAATACAGATTTGAAGACCTTTTATGTTTTATTATTAAAATACTTTTATAATTAAGAATAAGGTAATAGTTACTTACCTATAAAACCACATTATTTAAAAAAATATAAAAATTCAAAAAAAGTATTTAAATGATTAAAATCTTATTTATAAAAATATTAATCATTTTTTTTATAATTTCTTATATAAAATTAGTTATTATTATTTATTTATTTTTCTTATTATTATCTTAATATATAAGTTTTCAAGTATCTTTTATTGTTTTAAGTGTTTTTCTCCTTCACAATCCGTCGAAATTCCCTTGGTCCCTTGATTTTCCTGCTGCAGTTTCGAACCGCCTGCATCTCTTTAGCATCGACATCGACATCCGAAACGACGACGTCGTTCTGCATTGACTTCTTGGCTGCCTTTTGAGTGGAAGTGGTGCTTTCTGTCTGGTCTCCTCTTGGGTTCCTTTGCCCCAACACCCTTGCCTCCGATCTGCACCTTTCACCACCAACTCCCCAGCTGACTCTTCGTCAAACACAACAAATCGTTTTCATTGCCCGGCAAAAGCAAAAGCATTTTCAAAATTGATGCGGTGTCTGCGTTTAGGTGGAAAATTGAATTTTCATTTTCATTTCGCTGCGGCCCCGTCGTCTGTTGTAAGATGCTTGATGTT